GGTCCCTTCCAGTTCTAGGAGATAGGTATATCTCCACCTCGCCCTGACCCCCGTGGCACAGGGAGAGAACAACCCCCAGGCCCTAGGGACAGACTCACTGGGATGTGGAGAATTCCCATGGGGTGTGCCTGGACCACGCAGAGCCAGCTGCCTTCCATGAGCCCCCTGGCCTGGCTCAGCCCGCCCCTGTGCACTCAGCCAGGTGTCAGCTGCTGCGCTCCACCCTGGAGGTGGCTGCCTTTCCACGTTGTTAGGGAAATGCTTCAGCATCCCTTGGCATGAGGGTGCCGTGCCAGCCCATGAGTCTAAGGGGGGCTGCAGGCTGCTCCCGTGACACTCCTCTCTCCTGTGTCCCAGTCCCTGTGGGGGGGCCAGGGGCCCTCATGTCGCCGTGCCGCTCTCTGCCCCTGCAGGTATCGTGCTGGGCACCATCTTTGTGGGGGGATCCCTCATGGCTGGGGAGGAGCTCTCACCTGGAGACCTCATGTCCTTCATGGTGGCTTCACAGACAGTGCAAAGGTCAGAGAGCAAAGGTCGTGTGCATTGCACCCCCGGTGCGGGGTCTGGGGGGGTGGGGCTCACCATGAGAGTAGTTATCAGTGGTTCACAGTCAGGCTGGAAGGGCAGAACGAGTGGGGTCCCGCAGGGATCGGTTCTGGGGCCGGTTCTGTTCAATATCTTCACTGATTTAGATAATGGCATAGAGATGCACTTGTAAAGTGTGCAGATGATACCAAACTGGGAGGGGTTGCAAGTGCTTTGGAGGATAGGATTAAAATTCAAAATGAGCTGGACAAAATGGAGAAATAGTCTGAAGTAAATAGGATGAAATTCAATAAGGACAAATGCAAAGTGCTCCCCTTAGGAAGGAACCATCAGTTGCACACGTACAAATGGGAAATGACTGCCTAGGAAGGAGTCCCGCAGAAAGGGATCTGGGGGTCATAGTGGCTCACAAGCTAAATATGAGTCAACAGTGTGATGCTGTTGCAAAAAAAGCAACCATCATTCTGGGATGTATTAGCAGGAGTGTTGGAAGCAAGACACGAGAAGTTATTCTTCCGCTCTACTCCGCGCTGATTAGGCCTCAACTGGAGTATTGTGTCCAGTTCTGGGCGTCACATTTCAGGAAAGATGTGGAGAAATTGGAGAAAGTCCAGAGAAGAGCAACAAAACTGATGAAAGGTCTAGAAATATGACCTATGAGGGAAGATTGAAAAAACTGGGTTTATTTAGTCTGGAGAAGAGAAGACTGGGAGGGGACATAACAGTTTTCAAGCACGTAAAAGGTTGTTACAAGGAGGAGGGAGAAGAATTGTTCTTCTTAACCTCCGAGGACAGGACAAGAAGCGATGGGCTGAAATTGCAGCAAGGAAGGCTTAGTTTGGACATTAGGAAAAACCTCCTACCTGTCAGGGTGGTTAAGCACTGGAATAAATTGCCCAGGGAGGTTGTGGAATCTCCGTCACTGGGGATGTTTAAGGCAGGCTGGACAAACCCCTGTCAGGGATGGTCTGGATAATACTTGGCCCTGGCGTGAGTGCTGGGGACGGGAGTAGAGACCTCACGAGGTCCCTGCCAGTCCTGCAGTTCTCTGTCCCCATGCCCAGTGCTGAACAGAGTGCTCTCCCCTTGTCTCGGCAGGTCCATGGCCAACATCTCCGTTCTGTTTGGACAGGTAGGTGGGGCAGTGGCCTTGACACCACCCCACTCTTGTGGGGCTAGCACCATGACACAGCCTGCCAAGGCTGGGGTGACCCGTCCCAGCAGCCAGTTCACAGGGCTTGCCTGCTGCTTCTGGGATCCTGGCCCGGGATGGCTGCTGGGCGGAGGGCGCTGGGACAAGCGCTGGGCTGTCCGGCTGGTTGAAGGTGCAGCTGGTGGTTCTTTATCTGTACGCCCTGCTCTGGCCCGGCTGCTGCACCTTGTAAACTGAGGCAGGGACCCCTGAGGCACAACGGTGGTGACGGAGGTTCCTGCTGCACCCCTGTCCTGGCCCCAGACTGTCAGGTGGGCAAGGGAGAAGGGCTGGGCCCCCACTGCCCAGGGCCCTTCCAGCACACGGCGCCATGTGGCCATGGGGAGGTGACGCAAATGGGGCCGTGCTTGGGGCTGCCCCAATGACATGGTGACCAGGGCATCGGGCAGTCCCACCTCATCGCTGTCCCCGCAGGTCGTGCGAGGCCTCAGCGCTGGAGCCCGTGTCTTTGAGTTCATGACCCTGGAGCCAACCGTGTCCCTGACCGGGGGGGACCAGATCCCCAGCCACTCCCTGCTCGGCCACATCTGTTTCCGGGACGTCTGCTTCAGGTGAGGGCAGCCTGGGGGGGGCATGGTCTGCGCCACTGGGCACTAGGGCATGGGCACCTGTCCTCCTCACCCTCTGTACTGCCCTTTCCCCAGCCCCGCCGGTGCCCCCCACTCCTGACCCACAGCCCCTGCTACCCCAGCCCTGCCCCCGCAGCTCTGCCAGTGCCCCTCACTCCCGACCCGCAGCCCCTGCCAGTCCAGCCCTGCCCCCGCAGCTCTGCCAGTGCCCCTCACTCCCAACTCGCAGCCCCTGCTAGCCCAGCCCTGCCCCCCAGCCCTGCCGGTGCCCCTCACTCCCGACCCGCAGCCCCTGCCAGCCCAGCCCTGTCCCCACAGCTCTGCCGGTGCCCCTCCCGACTCGCAGCCCCTGCTAGCCCAGCCCCGGGTGTCCCCGACAGCTCCGCCGGTGCCCCTCACTCCCAATTGTACACCTTCTCCCAGGGCCTGTCCTGCTCCGCACTTGCCCAGCGCATGGCCGCCCTGTCTGCCCTGCCCAGCCTGACCCCTCTCTTCTTGCTGTCGCAGTTACCCCACGCGCCCCGGCTGCCCAGTGCTGCGGAACTTCAGCCTCACCCTGCCCCCTCGCAAGACAGTGGCCATCGTGGGCGAGTCGGGAGGAGGTACCACAGGAAGTGCCCAGGTTCCTCCCCCCCACCCCCTGACTGCCCCTGGGCCCTGAGCACCCCCCCAACCCGAGTCTGTCACAGGTGGGGTCTCGCAGGGCAGCCAGGCCAGAAAGGGGCGGGGGGAGCCAAGGTCTCACAGGGAACGGGGGAATGGTCCTGGCTCCCAGCCCCCCGGCCCTCCCAGAGCTGGGATAGAACCCAGACATCCTGGTTCCCAGCCTACTCAGGCCCCCTGCACCCCAGAGGCGGGGCCAGAATCCAGGAGTCCCGAACAGCGACTGTCTCGGCACCACCTCGGGTCAGGTGCCCCCCCCTGGCTGTGGGCAGTGCCTGGGGCGCTGTGTGCCCGGGCCGGGTCGTGGCCCATGCTGCTGCCAGCCTCATCCCCTTGCCCTGCAGGGAAGTCAACGGTGGCGGCACTGCTGGAGCGTTTCTATGAGCCCACGCAGGGGGCCATCACGCTGGACGGATGTGAGCTCTGCAACCTGGACCCCTCGTGGCTACGGGGACAGGTCATTGGCTTCATCAGCCAGGTGAGGGGGCGGGAGAGCGCAGGGGGAACGAAGCATGGGGGGGAGCAGAGTGTGATGGGGAGCGGGGCGCAGGGGAAATGGGGCGCGGTGGGGAGTGGGACATGGGGGGAGCGGAGTGCGGTGGGGAGCGGGGCGCAGGGGGAATGGGGCGCAGTGGGGAGGGGCATGGGGGGAGCGGAGTGCGGTGGGGAGCTGGACGCAGGGGAACGGGGCGCAGTGGGAGTGGGGCATGGGGGAATGGGGCACAGTGAGGCGGTACGGTGGGGGGAGTGGGGTGCAAGGGGGGGCGTGGCGGAGGTCAGGCAGCTCCTGGTACTGAAGCAGTGTCTCCTCCCCCCCTCCCCCCCAGGAGCCTGCGCTCTTTGGAATGAGCATCCTGGAGAACATCCGCTTTGGAAAGCCCGACGCATCTGACGCCGAGGTCTATGCCGCGGCCCAGCTGGCCAATGCCGACAGTTTCATCCGCAGCTTCCCCCAGGGCTATGGCACCATCGTGGGTGAGCACAGGGCCCTGGCACCTTCCTCTGCCCCCCGCTCACCCGTCGCTGCCCGCGGCTCTGGAGCCAAGTGGGTGGCGTCCGTGGGGGGTGGCTGCCGTGGGCCAGTAGCTCCGGCTCCGGCTGGCAGACGCAGAGCCGCTGGCTGCAGCCGCCAGACCCGCTGCAAGTGGGAATACGGCTGGGGGGGCGGGGGCGGTCTCCATCACGCGGGGTCAGTGGAGCCGGGGCAGCCGTGCTCTAGCTCAGCGGGTGCCATGCGCCAGAGCCGGGGTCCTGGGGAGAGGGTCCCTGCCCTGAGATGGGCAGAACGACCCCGTGGCCTGAAATCGATCACCCCCCGGAGCCCTGTCCCTGTCCCCGCAGGCGAGCGCGGCGTGATGCTGTCGGGGGGCCAGAAGCAGCGCGTGGCCATCGCCCGGGCCCTCCTCAAGAACCCGTCGGTGCTGATCCTGGATGAGGCCACGAGTGCGCTGGACACGGAGTCGGAGCAGCTGGTGCAGGAGGCACTGGAGCGGGCCATGGCTGGCCGCACCGTGCTGGTCATCGCCCACCGCCTCAGCACCATCCAGTGCGCCGACCTCATCGTGGTGCTGGCCCGGGGCTGTGTGGCCGAGGTGAGGGGGGACAGAGTCCTGCAGGGGGGGTTGGCAGCTCTGTGGGACAGTGTTCTGGGGTGGGGTGGTCCCTTGGGGGGGTCCTCGAGGGAGGGGCACAAGGTGTTGTTCTGGGGGCGGTATGAGGGCGCGGGGACGAGACGGGTGTTCTGGGGGTATGGGGTGTTCTGAGGTGAGGCGGTCCCCGGGTGGGGGGGTACGAGGGCGCGGGGCGGTCCCCAGATGGGAGGGGCACAGAGGTATTCGGGGGGTACAGGGGCCGCAGGGCCATGGCTGGGCAGAGCAGCCGTTGGGCGTTGCCGGCTCTGGTGACACTCCCCTCCCCTCGGTCTCTCCCCAGGCCGGGACCCACGCGGAGCTGCTGCGCCGGGGCGGGCTGTACGCTGAGCTCGTCCGCAGACAGGCCACGGAGCAGCCCTGAGCGGGGACGAGCCCGGCCTGGCCGTGGCGGCTGCAGGGACTGAACCTGGTGCCCACGCGGCTCCCGCCTGAGCTGTGCCGAGCCCAGCGCAGACACTGGATCTGTGCACCTACCTCTGGGGCTGGGGCCCTGCCTGGCCACGGGCCCTCCTCCTCTGCCCCCAGGCGGGGCTCCCGGCCTTCCTCTCTGGTCTGTCCCCAGGCTGGGCCTGGGCCTTGGCTCCGCCCCCCAACGCCGGGCAGGACCTGGCCCATGGCCGCAGGAAGGTGGTGAGTGCCCAGGTTCATGTTGTGCCCTGTCCGCCAATAAAAGCCAAGTGCAGCTGCAGCTCTTGTCTGGGGCAGGGGGTGGGGCTGAGTCCTGGGGGGAGAGGGTGTCATGGGGCACCCCACTTCATTACCATGGCGATTGGCCTGTGATCTCATCTCATCTGCCCCCTCCCCCCCAACAGGTGAGGGCTCCCAGGGGTCTGGGGGTTGCCATGGGGCTGGGGCTGCGACTCAGAACCCCCACACACACACTCAGGCTGTGCGGGGGCTCAGGTACGCAGAGTAACGGGCTGGGGGCAGGGGGACGAGGGGCCAAGCCCCCAGGGGCTGGTTGGGGACCCAGGCCAGGCCCTTGGGTCTCATGTCTCTGAGAAGTCTCCGGGCCCAGTCTGCTCAGGGGTCTCGTCCCACGGGTTACGGAGCTCCCTGGGCCCCCCAGCCCCTTGTCCCCCTCCCCCCACGCATTTGGGACAGGACCCTGCGTGCCCGCTCAAGGCGTCTGGCCTGGGTGGGGTAACTGAGGAGCCAGCGAGGTAAACCAGGGCAAAGGGGCCGTTCTAAGTGGTTCCACCCAATAGTCCCAGGCCTGGTACCACGGCCTGTTCCCAGCACGTCCTGCCGGTGCTGCTAACCCCAGCCCTGTGTGAGCTCCCACACGCTGCTCATCCTCCCCTGGCAGCAGGGCCCACCGTAGCATCGGCTCTTCCGCTCCGGCTGCCCTTCGGCTTGACGTGCTCCAGAGAGAGGACGTTCCCGCCGCTGCACCTCTTCTGCCCAGTGGCCAAAAGCCAGGTGTCTTGTCCCTAAGCCCCCTTCAGCTGGATTCCTTCAACAGCTGGTTAGTCATCAGAACAGCCAGACTGGGGCAGCCCCGTGGCTGCTAGCCCACGATCCCGCCTGCCACCAGGTCAGTGCCAGGGGCTTGAACAGGGCAATGTGGGGTGATCCGTTCTCTGTCGTTCAGCCCCAGCTTCTGGCAAACAGGCTGGGGACACTCAGAACGTGGGCTCGTGTCCCTGCCCAGCCCGGCTAATCGCCATTGAGGGACCTACGCTTCAGGAACTGATCCAGTTCTTTTTTGAACCCTGTTATAGTCTTGGCCTTCAACATCCCCTGGCTGTGAGTTCCACAGGTTGACTGTGTGTTGGGTGACGAATCACTTCCTTTTGGGTGTTTTGAACCAGCTGCCTGTTAATTGTTCATTACGGTGGGTCCTGTGGGGGAGGGTTTCTCATTTTCATCTAACCCAGCTTTTCAGTCAATTCCTTTTCCATTCATTATATTTCCGTTCAGTTTTTCCCCTTGACTTTGGCTCCGGTACGGCTGGAGATTTTATTTCCCTTCTCAAAGAGTCTCTGCTCACGTACCCACCTCTGGTCTTTTGTGCTTCTCCTGACCCGAAACCTTTTCTATTTTCCTCCTTTCTGCCTTCTCACGTCCCAGTCTCCTGTTTTTATCCTCCGCCCCCAGCTCCAGTTCCGCCGCTAGCACAGACCTAGGTTCTTCTCCTTCCCTCCTTCTTCTCTGACTGCTTTTGCCCAGCCTCTTCCCGGAGGTGAGCCCAGAGGTCACTTGGCAGCACCCCAGACATGTGCCCGAGGGGCTGGGCGTGGGGGGGGCCCCTGCTCTGGTGCAGATGCTGGCGGCGTTTGGGGGCATGGGGTCTGGTTCTCCCCACAGGAGCAGGTGGGGTTAGTGGGCTGGCACAGGGGGCCATGCTGCAGAGCTGGGGGCCTTGCTGGGTGAGCCTGGAGCCCCCCCTAAGGCCCTGGGGCAAATATTAGCAAAGACGTTCCCCGAGGGGCTGAGGGTGGGGGTCCCGCTCTGGGGAGCTGCTTCCAGCAGGAGAGAAGAGACAGGCCTGGTTTGCATTGGGCTACTTTCACCTGTTTGCCCCTGTGCGGGAGCTGTGGGCCCTAAAGCGAAACGTGGTGCACGGCTGGGCCGAGAGGAAGGGTCCTGGGGGCGGGGAGGGGACACCCCCAGCCAGGGCCCAGGAGGAAGCACCAGCCTCAAGGAAACCCCTCCTCTGAACCACTGGGGCTGGGGGAGCCTTGGCCTGGCCCAGCCTGTCCCCCAGTACAGGGTCAGTCCCGTACCAGATCAGGGCAGAGCCTTCTGCCCCCTCCAGCATGGGGGCACTGGCAGGAAAAGCTCCCTGAGAATCCATGGGTGGCCCTGCCCTCTTGACCCCTCTCCCCAGGGCCCCAGCCTGGAGGCAGGTCGGGGGCCCCTTGGCTGCTCCCCAAGCCCCTGGGCCTCGGTGACAGCCCAGCAGAGCGCACACTGAGCCCGAGAGGCCCCACCAGCTTCCTTGAGATGCCCCATGGGCTGGGGGGGCTCACTCCTCTGACGGCTCCCGGCTGAGGCCTGCATCAGGGGAGCAGGCGTTGGGGGTCCCGGCAGGTTTATCCCTGAACAGGGAGCACACCAGGGGCTCTGACACCGCAGGGGAGTTTGTCTCTGGGCTGGAGCACCGAAGAGCAGAGTGACGCACCGGGATCCCGGGGGTGACAGCAAAGAGCGGCCGAGAGGCTGGGGTGGGGGGAGAGCGTCCCCCAGGGAGGGCAGCTCCTGCCCCCAGGCAATGGCCAGCAGGTGCCACCTCACCCTGGTCCCCCACGAGAGAGGCCTTGCTGGGTTAGGGGGCCAGCCGGGCCCTTTGCAGGGCCAGAGCTTCATGCTGAACCCCTCCGTGTGGGAAGGTGGGTCGGGCCAGGATGTGCCCTTCCCCTGTACCCAGTGCGGGCACCACCTGCAGCAGGCAGTCCTGCGCGTGCGCAGCAGGGAGAGCCCCCTGCCACAGCGACAGTGAGCTGGGACATCCACCATCCCGTGCACAGGCGAGTGCCCTTCTCCAGCCCTTCTGCTAGCAGACAGCCGCACCCTGCACTGGGGCCCGGGGAGAGTCCGGTGCAGCTGAGCCGCCGGGTGTCCGCTCCCAGTGCAGGAGGGGCCTCGAAACAAAGGGTTCCTCCATCCCAGCCCTGCCTCCGCCTGGTACCGTGAAACCCAGGCCGGGCAGACAAGGGACGTGTGGGGCCGGGAATCCGTGTGCTGGGAACGAGGTGAAGTACCGGGGGGCTGGGCTGGGCTGTGCCGCCCTCACTCCCTTTGGGGGAAGCTGGCGATGGCAGCCTGGCTGCAAGACGAGAGGACGGAGCGGGCGGCACCACGACCGGCTGCATCTCCTGGGCCTCAGCCTTTTGCTGCCTTGGCCTGGTCCTGAGCGGTGTCCTGACCAGGCTGGAGAGAGGAACTCCGGTGCCACCCTGGGACGCGCGGCTTTGTCCCTGCTGAGCGCCCCCGTCCATCCCTACTTCTCTCTTCCCTCCCCATCCCTCGCCGGCTGCCTCCTGTCGAGACGAGGCCGGCCAGGGCTGGAGAGTTTGCACCGCTGCCGGGAGCCTGTGACCAGAAAAAGGGCACTAAACCCACCGCCTGGGTTGGCAGCAGCATTACCAAGGGAGGGGCTGGGTGTCGTTCGGGCTGCTCCACACGGGGGGGGGCCTCTGGTGACACCTCAAGGTCCTGGCCTGACAGCTCCAGGATGCCGAGTTGCCAGGTGGTTGCGCAGCCGGTGGCTGGGCCTGGCTTGCTCCAGCAGGGAGGGGGCATGTCAAGACCAGACAGTGTGACGAACTGGGACTGTTCTTGCTGGGGTGTGTGAATGCTGACAGGGGAGTGTGGCTGGGATAGTCTGCATTGGGGGATGGGAGTCTGCCCGAGGGCGAATGCCTGAGCGTGTAACTTGAGAACCCAGGAAGGGGTTGGAGGTCAGGTGACACCTTGGCCCGGGAAACTGAACAAAGGCTGTGGGAGGGGTCGCTGAAGGCAGAGGGTTGGAAGCAGGCTGGAGAGATGGCTGGGAGGCAGAGATGGCTGGGATGCCCTGGGACCCCAAGCTGGACCTAACTGAGGGGGGCCCTGTTGTCTGGGCCTGCAAGACCTGTCTTGGACTGTATTCCTGTCATCCAAATAAACCTTCTGCTTTACTGGCTGGCTGAGAGTCATGGTGAATCGCAGGAAGCCGGGGGTGCAGGGCCCTGAATCCCCCAATACTCCGTGACACACAGACACGCGTTTTCCATGTTTGCTGCTTTTCTCTCCCTCCTCCCCTCCCCCCCCCCCCCCATGTGCAGGTGTTTGGTGGGAAACAGGGTTGGCCTTGCGCTGGCCCAGAGACAGCTCCCGCCCCTGGGCTAGGGCCTGGGCTACGCTGCCCAGTCAGGTCGCCCGACCGGCGCTGCTCAGAGCCTGGGGAAAGGGCCCACTCCCTGCGAGGGGGGTAAGCCGACCTGCGGCCCGGGGTAGGCCTGGCTCGGGCGATGGAGGAATTCTTCTGTCACCCCAGCCACTGCCTCTGTGGAGGTGTATTTCCTGGGGCCGGAAGAGCCCTTCGCTCACTGTAGTTACGCGACAGAGCACAGCCGCAGCAGGGCCACGGCCGCCTTTCCCGTGGAGACAAACCCGAACTGCCGGTCTTTCCTCCCACTCCCTGCACACCAGTTACCAGCTAAAGGCTGCTTTTGGCGTAGCTGCAGCCCTGCCGCTCCCAGGGCATGAGAGAGCCAAGGGGGGCGAGGTCAGAGCTTTTCTGGGCTCAGCGTCTGCTGGGGGGAGAGACGAGCTCACCCAGAGCGTGGCTGCAGGGCTGGGAAGTGCTCGACGGGGCTGTCTACACTGCCAGGCTTGCCCAGGGTTAGAACGTGAGGTAGCAGCCCCAGGGTTTGTTAGCCTAGGGACCGAACAGCTACACTCGTGTGTGACCCCAGCCTAGTAATTGACGAGCCCTGGCTTCCAGCATCCACACTGCATTATCTGGGGCCAAGTCCAATCCCAGACTGTCTAGCACCCACCCCAAATGGGGCCAGTCTAGCCCTTTGTCTGTGGTGCAACAGGGGAGCCTGTGACTGACCATCGACCCCGGGGCCTGCGGGATGCTGTTGGCAGAGTCCCAGAGCCCAAGTCCAGTGGAGGGGCTGCATCTAAACTACAAAGCAACAGGGTTTGACCCCGGATCCTGGCTTGACTCAGGTTTAGCCCCTTCATCCCCGTGGCACCCTGGGACCGAGCCCTGGGTTAGTGCGATTTGTATGTAGACAGAAGGCGGGGGAGGCTTGACTCAGTCTGAGCCCTGGGCTCACACTGCAGTGTAGACATACACGGAGCAGTACAGCTAGATACAGGGTGCACCACGGTTTAGCAGGAGTTTGTACTGAGTCTAAGAGGCCACTGAGGAGAAGTGGCCCATTCACCCGTCTGCAGTCATAGGCCCAGAAAGGGGGGTTACAGATTGTTGTAATACGCCATTGTCAGTGTCTTGAGTTTGACCATGAGTTTTAGTGTCTAGCAAAGTTATGAATGTCAGGTTCCCAGGCTCGTCTGTTGACAGAGTTGTGCTGGTTTCCTGTGAGGACGAGGGCTGATAGGACAGATATCGAGTGGCTGCATTGTGAGCCGTGTTCACCACAGGTGATAGGATGTTTTTGTCTTTTATCATTTTCCTGTGTGAGGTCATTTGAGTGCACAGTGATTGTCTGGTTTCACCCACATAGCTGTTAATGGGGCATTTAGTGCCCTGGATGAGGTACACCCCACGTTGTGATAGGCATGTGTAGGACCCATGGACCTTGAAAGGTGTGTCATGGGGGGATGCTGATCATTGTAACAGTGGAGATATGGCTGCAGGTTTTCCATCTGTTGTTCTGGCAGGGTCTGGTGCCACTTTGAGTTGGTGTGTCCTGGTCTGTGGGGAGATTGCTTCTGATGGTGAGGTTGGGGGGTTGCTTGAAGGCCAGAAGAGGGGGTTTGGGAAAGATTTCTTCTACGATGGGGTCCCCACTGACTATGGGTTGCAACTGTTTAAAGATACCGCATATGTCACCTACTGTCCCACACTGGAACCCAACTAGGTGTGCGGGGTGAATGGCTTTTGGGTTTTTTTTGTTCTTATCCACACAATTTAGGGCTCTCACCCCCCTACCCTCTCTTTTGGGTATTCAGGAAGTAAGGGACCCACTTTACCCCTCCATGGGCTCCGGGCTAACACCCATTCCCAGTGGAGTCAGGGCTCTGCAGGGCCTTTCCCCAGTGAAAGAGCCTTAAACAATAATTTCCTTAACGAACGGTTCCCAGACAGAATGCCCATGCCGAGCATCCAATGCTCCCCACTCCCGCGTTCACAGCCGATCTCCCCGCTACCGGCCAGGCAAGGGTCAGGTCGTCTGGAGCTCCGGTTGCTGCACTGCAGGGTCATGCAGGGTCTTCTGGCAGCTTTAATTTGAGCTGGGCTGTGTCCTTACATCATGCCTAGCTGTATGTTATCCAGGCCTGGTCGCGAAACAATTCTTTAACCAAGCCTAATATACGGTGAAATGCTTCTTCCCCAGCTCAGACCCCACTGCCTTCATACAACAGACAGCTAAACAATAGCGAAATGGGGACCATAAAGACAAAACAATAATAAAGTCGGGATTTCACAGCCACAACTGTTGATAAGTGATTTCTTGCCGGACAGAACGCCATCAAACGAAGTTTTCTGTAACCATCTTAAGCTCCGTTTCTGTATCTGGGGACGGTGGGCGCTATTAGGACAGGAGTCTTCTGGACAGCCCGATGTGACATTGGTTTGATGTAATTTAGATGGAATGTGGGGATGTGACTTTCTGCTTCTTGGTCATGGCTGCTGTTTTTATTGCAGAAGCCTCACAGCTTACACGTTTAGGGTACCTGGTGTCACGAGGTATTGGGGGACTCAGGGCCCTGCACCCCCGGCTTCCTGCGATTCACCATGACTCTCAGCCAGCCAGTAAAGCAGAAGGTTTATTTGGATGACAGGAATACAGTCCAAGACAGGTCTTGCAGGCACTGACAACAGGGATCCCCTCAGTTAGGTCCATCTTGGGGTCCCTGGGCATCCCAGCCCCCCTTGGGAGGTCAGAGCCATCTCTGCCTCCCAGCCATCTCTCCAGCCTGCTTCCAGCACACTCCTTCAGCGACCCCACCCACCGCCTTTGTTCAGTTTCCCGGGCTCAGGAGTCACCTGGCCTTCAACCCCTTCCTGGGTTCTCATGTTACACTCCTAGGAATGCGCCCCCGGGCAGATCCCATCCTCCAATGCAGACTATCCCAGCACACTCCCCTGTCAGCATTCACAGACCACAGTGAG